CGACAGACATGCATCTTCACCTTCATCCCCTTCAAAATCACCATCACCTCACCTGGTGGGGTGTTACCCAGGGGGAGGAAGGGAACAGTACGGGATCCCCTGAAATTTTCTGTGTGTTAAAACATAGTCATCAGAGGTTCACAGTGAAATTCAAGGGACAGTGGGTTTCTTGGGGACCTTTCTATAAAAAGCCACCTTCAAAAGAAACAGTGGGGATTCTGGCAGCTGGAGGGTTCATGAAATCTGTCACATGTCAGCTGTACGTGTTGAAGGACTGATCAAATGGTTTCATTCCTCTGAGGGTTCGTTTCTGCAGCCCCTGTGAAAACACCTTCATCTTCCATGCAATTGCTGTTGAAAACGCTCTTAAGATAGTAAACTGTCCTCAGTGTCTTACTATCTTAGGATAATAAGCTATCCTAAGTAAGCTGCCCTAAGTGACTCTCTGCTGATACACTGGGGTTTTCTTCTTTTACATCTCAGAGAATACTAGGGGAGGAATTAATTTAAAATGTGTTCTAAAGTAAGGAACTTGCCAACCTGGCTCCTCTCCAGCCTGTGCTATCTTTACTACCATGCATCTCACGCAGATTGCTCCATCCTCTGCTATTTTCCCCAAACAGATAACATATGTGAGAGACTTGCCTAACATCATTCTCCAGAAGTAATCCAAAGGCAGCAATGCTCCGTGCTTTGTATTCCACCCAGAGAGGAGGAACACTTCTTCTGCCTCCACCACGCCACGCAGGGCAGGGACTTCAGGGGTCCCTGTACGCTTCAGCCAGAGACACGCTCCCACGGCTGCCCTCCCTCCTCAGCAAGACATGTAAATACTCACCCTCTGAACAAGACCAAACAGCCATCACAGGCTCTACTCTCACGTCTGTAATTCATATGCCTGTTTCTAATGGGGGGGGATTGTATTTGGGTATTTGTAGGTGCCAATCACACTTTTGATTAGAAACAGGGCTGCGGGAGCTCATTAAGCAAGCAGGTGTCTTGTCAAAGAAGCGTTATTTAAAGAGAAGATGCTACACCGTTCCCAGAGCTGAAGAGCCTCATCAGCTGCACATGGAGCGATGCTCAACTGCTGAAGCTGAGGACAAGAGCAAACAGAAACAAATCAAAATAAAAAAAAAAAAAAAAGGAAAAAAGAATGATACATTTTCAGTTTTCCTAGTGCCGTTTATACCATGGAAATGCAGAACAAATTTAAACGTTAGCATAACTCTAAACCTGCACATATTACCCAGAGAGAATGAGATAATACATTTTACTCAATAATACCAGGAAAAAGAAACATTTAAAAACAAAAACGAAAAAAGCCAGACACCTTTGGCCATGGAAAGTGAGTGAAATAGGACTACCAATGGCTGGAAAGCCTGGGGGAGGTGATGTGTGTTATCAGTCCCAGGTTGTTCTTTGCAACTGTAATTTGCCCCCAAAGATAAATCCCACGTAAGGCTGCCTAAAGCAGACCACTCTACAGGGGCATTTTGCTCACTTTATAAATAAAAACCTAGCTAAAAAGAAGTGATGAAATCCCCTTTCTGTGTCACAGCCTGGGTGAGAAAGCAGCTCTTTGTGCCTCCTGGAGTGGGGCACAGGCTGACTCGTGCTTACCTTTAAAAAACAATTAAAACCAATATCTGCACAGTGCGAGGCAATTCCAACACGTGTGTCACCGCACGCATGTCTGCTTCACCATCAGCATGTATGGCTCGTCATCTGTCTGCTCGGAACAATAACTGTTAGGTTAGCAGCCTTTTCACTTGTAAATGTAAATATTGTATCTAGAACACAATATTTGAAATACAAAATACAGTGTTATTAAGACAGCACTCACATCAATTCTTGTATGACTATAATTTGTGAAATGCCTTAGGAGGGGCTTATAAATAAAGTATAAGGTGTTATTATGAAATACATTTTAACCAAATGCACAGAAATGGCTCATTCCTATTGAAATCAATAGCAAAACTCCCACTAATTTCAGTTGCAAAAAGAGGAGACCCTTGGAAATCGCTGCGTTACACTTAGCAACGCGTTACAGCAGATTTCAGTCTTTCTAAGTAATACAGCTCGAGAAGAAGAAAGGGAATGAAAATGGGAGTTAGAGGCTGTTCAGAGCATGTTACAGATTTCCATTCCCCACTTGTGCAGTGTCTGGCGAGGCAGCACGTCCCTGCGCAGCCACGCACAACCCCCTCGCCCGTTTGCAGCATCGCTCCGAGGTGGGTGCTGGGGCTGCTCCAGGGCCTTGCCTGGCACCCAGCAAGCAACTGGGAGCCGGCACCAGTGCTGTGGCATGGGAGCCTGGCCCCGCACCCCAACCTGCCCTGGGGAAGGGCTCTTGATGGCGGGCAGCGCAAGGCTGCCTGCAACCTCCAGAGCCCCCGGCACGCACGGCAGCAGCTCTTCAAGGCAAGCAACACTCTGGGGACCAAATGCCCTGACTTCTTCCCAATGTGCAGCCAGCCAGGGACTTTTCCCCGCCGACCTCCTTCCATAGGGCACAATGACAAGCCAGTGAGCCAGAAACGTCTCCTCGCCGCCGTAGCTAGCCTGTCACCAAAATAAGCTCGAGGTTCATCCGCGCACGCAACGGCTTTATAGCGATGCTGGGAGTGCAGAGGTGCGGGGCTGAGAGAGCCTGCAGCACTGACCGCCCTGAAGAAGACTTCTGAAGGAGCAGAGAGGGCTGGTTAAGAGTCGGTGGAGGCCACCAGCAGCTGGACCGTGGGCGGTGGAGCTGCACAGCTGGGAAAACCTGGGAAGGGCAGGGAAGAGCTCCAGGGAGCTGCCTCTGCCCGCGTATCAGCACCTGCAGAAACAGCAACCACGGCACAAAAGCTCTCCAGGGAGGAAGGGGTGGGAAGCGCATTTCCATTTCTGGTTGAGCAGAAGTTGGCATTGCGATAGCAAACTACATCAGTAGGTATAAACATGCTAAGTGGCTATATAGATGCTGGGTTTGTACCTGTAATTAATTGTAAATCAATTTGTCTATAATTACCTGCCTATTGTGGCGTTTAACTCAATCTATGCATACCTTATAAATATATAATGTGCGTCTGCATGTCTGATAAAAATATGTATAAATTTTTTTCTAAAATCCATGTTGCATTAAAATTTGCCCATGGATGGATGGATTCCAGGTATAAAACTACTTAATGCTGATATAACAAATTTACTTACAACTGACCAGTATCAATTAAAAAGAAAGATTTTAGTCTACTGGGTTTGCACATTTTTGTTTGCTTCAGGCTCTCGATTTTATTAACTATCACATCATGCTTTGAGCGAAGCTGCTCTTTGTCCCTACAGGATTCGGAGTTTACGTGCATTTAATCTCGTCTGCAGCATCGCGACTATCTCAGCACCACAACTCTGCTACTCCAGGTTTACAGTGAAGGGTTATCTGCCGTGACAAATATGCCAAAAGGAAAACATAACCAGCCCAGATAGTATCTTTGCTGCATAAAGGCTGCTTGTGACGCCTGTGCTTTGACTCACAACTCCCCGTGCATTGGCTTTTTAATCATGAGATCCCTTTTTCAGCACAGCATCGCGAGCAACAACTGCACCACAATGAGCCAGCTTCATCGATATGGGAATGTTTAGATTTCCCTGCCAGTGACTAAAGGCCTTTAGCTTTCACTAGCCAGTCCCAGCTCGCATTGTTGTTGCCTGTTGATTTGTCTTCTCTCATTATTCCTTGACATGCAGCTCTCCACCCACGCCCACACTAACAACCCTCACACAAAGCGCATTGAGGTATTAACCAGGTTACAAGTTCAATGGAAAATTACACTAAGATTGTGCTGTGTGGCAATAGAAAGGGATGGTATTCAGTCTCCCAAAGAGCCTGTTAAAAAACACAGCTGGGTTTTTTTTTTTCCTTTTTAAGCATCCTAACAAAAACAATTTTTAGAAGTCAAGAATGCATATTTGTGTGGATATGTGTCTATACGTACTTTATGTATAATTACAACAGATAGACACGGGCGTGCATCGCGTCTCCACCACTGACTGGCACAATGCGAACTCCCTGCTGGAAATTCTGCTGGATTCTGGAGTTCATTTAGAGCAGCCCCAGAAACCCAAGCTAAATAAACAACCTCCTCCTGCTCTCGGCTGCAATTAGATACGTGAACCTATCTTCTTTTTGTTAGCCCAAATTACAGGCTGGTGGAAGTGCTGAAAGTCTATAAAAACATTTCTTAAGAATCCCTCCCTATTGAAAACTGAAAATAAATTCAAAATAAAACTTAATGAGATTAACCTAACACAATAACAAAATTTGCAACACCACACTATAAGGTTAAAAAGAAAATAGTATAATAAAGGAAATACAAAGGCTTTGGCATGGTTTTTACAATCAACAATGGTTAATTTTGATATGTAGTTGTGAACAACTTCAAAACACTTAAGTTTAAAACTCTTGCAAGCACTTTTAATTGATTAGGAATGACTTCTAGATGCACAAAAATGATTGGACTGTGAACAGTAGTACAACTATATCTAAGAACAATTAACTCTTGCCGACCAAAAAGAAACGTATGATGCATGAAAATGTGTATAAAACATCTATAGAATATTCTTGTCAAATATAAATGAAATTAACTTTATTATAGAAATCATTCTGGGAGATTTCTAGGGAAGACAAATACTTACATTTCGACATAAAACAAATTGGATTATATCGAAGACACAATCTACCTTTTATCTATCAAACTCTTTTCTTCGTCGAAGTTCTCTCTTAACCCTTGTTTGCACATAGCTTCAGCCGTTAACAACCTTTGGAAATACCAACAGATATTTTTCTTACATAAATCTAGTGCGTATTGTTCCAGGTTTAATTATATGCAATGGAATGATACAAACTTGGAACATCAATCCATAATCTATGAACAGATTGGTAGAAGTATTCGATATATCTTGATAAAACTCTTAAATTCGTGGCAAAGCTTGTTGATCATGGCTTCTTTTTTTTTTTCTTTTCTTTTTTTTTTTTAAACAACTTCATGACCAACACAGATCAAACATCCATCCAGTCTACATTGTTCTTTTTTTTTTTCATTATAACATACAAATGCCCATTTACAAATAATACACCAAAATGAATAAAAGTTTGGATACCAAAATGAAGATTTGTTCCAACTGATATAATGCCTTCAGTGTACAAAGGTCCATGTGAAAGTCTTTTCCATGTGTTACAGCATAGGGCACAGTTGCAGTACAGAAGTACTCTAAGAGCCATTCTTCCTTTATAAAATACTGCTGAACATCCAACTGTTGTCCATATAGTCATTTACGGAATTAACACATGTTTTACTGTAATCTTGGCCAGTATTGAGACATATCAGGTTCACTGCCAGGAACTTGAACTGGAACTGACACTCCAGGGGAAATGAGACCTGAAAATTGAGGGGGAGAAATGGATATTTTAGTTTTTCTATACATAGCACAATTTTTGCTTTACAGTTTCACAGGTTTGTGCTTGTATTCCAGTAAGTATTCAGCCTCACCATCTACTAGCCTGCAGAATTAGGTGCAGGGGTATATTTTTAAAACCTATGTGCATCTCACTGATTTGTTGTTATAAATAAACTGTCACGCTTTGAGATAAATGCCAGAGCCTCGGCTCATATGTATCAATTGGGAATTCAGCCCAAAATACACTGAACATTTCTATTCTTTTAAAGTATGTCTGCTCCCTCTTATGCTGACACTTAACCCCTTTTTACCCTATTTTGCCTTCTTATGCAGAGGTTAATATTTCTACAGGTTACCTGCCTTTCTGATAACTTCAAATCTTTAGCAAAAAATAGCCTCTGTCACAGACACAGTAAAAACACGCTCAGTCCTGCAAACACTTTCACATACAATTAACATCACCGGTATGAGCAGCTCCGTTGAAATCTAACGTTGAAATAAATACTGCTTTAGAGTTTAATTACTCAGGGAAGATTTTGCAGGCTGGGGGCCTCACTGGAGAGCTTTCCACTGTATTCAAACCCCACCTCTGTTAACCAGCCATCTTTCCTCTACCCCCTCAGCAGCAGCTGTCAGCTCCAGCCCACAAACGCTGTGTATTTTTGTCTTCTGCCCAGTTTGACATCTACTAAACCCGACCAGTGATGGGGAGAGACGTCTCCCAGCAAAAAACCACATGCCCAGAGCAAGGAATCTGCTCTGGCAGAAAGGCGGGGGGAGCGCGGGGCCACTCACCTGTGGAAGTGGTGCCAGAGGTGCCCATCGGCTGGCTGTTCATGTGTGTCTGCATGTGCGGAGGGGTGTATGTATCATAGCTCCGGCCATTCACCGATGGGCTGGTAGGCAGCATGCAGGAGTAGGAGGAGGTCTGGCTGGGTACCGGGGGCTGTGGGAGCAAAGGACAAAACAGAGTTAAGTGTCAGCCGAGGTAAACACCACATTACGCTCTTCTGTGACAGTGCTCAGGAGCAGCGTGCACAAGGAAAAATGAGCTTTGGTTTCAAATTTGGGGACCTAGGTGTAAAACCCTATTTAGGAGGTAAACCAAGCAGCCTTTTCCAGAAGTTTTTGGTCTATAGAAATGATGTGGATGGTCGCCAGTGCCTTTTTAGACACAGGTGGTGAGCAGATCCCTACATCTAGATGCTAATGAAGATGTTACCTAACCAAGCCAAGGGGCCAAAGCCCCTGTTTGTGCTTATGTAGAAGAAAGACATCTGACATTTGCAGCCACAGAGAGACAGAGCAGGGCTGGCATCTTACCTTACATTTGGTGGTGAAACTAAGAGCTCTTTGGGGTGTAATGAAAAATTACTCCACTTAGACACATACTTTGGTCCCGCATCTGCACGCAGGTCGATGTGTGGGTTTGGGGTGACCATACGTGTACGTTGATCCCTGTTCAGAGCTTCGGTCACCCCAAACCCGTGCCAGCAGCATCCCAGGAAACCAGTCATCTCCATTTACTTAAACTCCAACCCCTAAAACCCCATCTGCCAGGGGAGAGCAGCTGGGGGCAAGGAGTGAGGGATGGCACAGTGCCAGGGAGGGACCAAACAGGGGCATCTCCTGCTCCAGGGTGCTGGAGGAGTGGAGACTGGTGTAGCCCTGACATGGGGAGGCAGAGGGGGAGCAGGAAGCAAGATGAGTAATTCCCGCTCTGAGCGCACGAGACCCGACACGTCTGCACATGTTTCCTCCGTCTGCACATCCCTGACACATGCCATCTCCAAAAATACCAACAGCCTCACTCACAAAGCACACGCGCTGTGCTCCGGCAGAACCAGCAACGTGTCCCGCGTCCACAGGGAGATGCTGACAGTCCAGCTGCCAAATCTCCCATTCCGACATCGCGTGGCCATCGTGTTGTTGTGGCCACATAGGCAGGACTTTCTAGAGTGGCTCACGCGTGCCAGGTCCTTCCCAGGTGCCCAGTGGTGAATCAGGGGCCTCCTGCTTTCCCAAGAGTCCCCTCCCATATCAGCCTTTTGATCTTTTGTCTTCTGCTCTCAGCCCGCTGCCAGGAACAGCACTGCTGGCCTCCAACGTCATGAAAGAGCGACCTAGCCAACATCATTTCTTTCTGCAGACTTGCGAGACTCTAACTTTATTTGGTTAATTTTGGTTCAGCAATTAGTAACATAGTAATTGCCGCAGCAAAGGAGTCAGGCTCTGTAATCTGCTCGCCTGTCTCCAGCAGTGGTCAATGCTGCGTGCCTCAGACAAAGCTGTAAAACTCCCGTAATTGGCCAGCACCTTCCTAGGCCAACCCCACCATTAAAAAAGGAGGAATTTTGCATCTGAAAGGTCTATAGAAACAGACCCCAAAGGAATAGATTTCTTCCTAACCCAGCTGGTGATCAGCTAATGCTTTCAGGCATGAGGATTGACAGCTCTTGCAATTCTAGCTTAGCTGGCATAACCACTGATGCTAATCACATCCCTCCCTCTCTCAGGTGTTCCTAATGCGCCGCCGCCACGTTACCTATGCCGAGAAGGCCAGATCCCTCCAGCAGCTTATTCAGGCAGCAATTTCCACAATACTGCACCAGTGAGTTCCATAGGTTAACCATGGGTTAGGCTTGGGGGTTTTTTTCCAATAATGGGTTTTTTCATCCCAGATTTGTTGCCTTGTAGATTTGAGGACCTTCTCTTTTAAAATCCAGGAAAAGGGTTTGTCAGAGCACCAGGACTTACAGTGCCCTTTAGGGCATCTTTTCAGAAACCGGGGAAGCCTTTGGTGCCGGTTTCCCTGCAGCATGGTTTGGGTCTGTAACCCTCCCGC